CACGGGCCTGTGGAGTGGGTGAGCCCTGCCCAGGCGCGGCCCTCTGCCTCCTGGGTGATCCCGGCCTTGCTCTTAAAGAGGCCGTGGCCGCTCGCCCCATCGGCCGCGCTCAGCTCCTGCTGCACCCACGGCCCCGGCCCCGGGTCCGACTCCGGTGCGGCCGCTGGGCCCTGACGGGTGGCGTGGGCCCGAGGGCACCCTCCCCCACCCGCTGCCCGGCCCTGGGGGCCGACGGGAGCACCTTCCCCGGGGAGCCCTCCTGAAAGTCAGCAGCGTCTCTGCAGCTGCCACAGAGCAGCCCTTCAGGGCGGGCCCAGGACAGAGGCCCTCTCTGTGCCCCCCTCCCCCTGGCGTCCTGGTTTCCTGCCTGTCCACCCGGAGATGGCAGGAACGCGGCGGGCGCCAGCGCCCGCTTGATGGACGTGGCAGCTGCTGCGGCCGCCCCAGCGGCTCGGGGCCGCCCTTGGGGAGCCCAGCAGCTGGGGACACATGGTGGCCGTTCCCAGGGATCCTGTGTCACGGGGGACGGGCCCGGCCACGCCGCCAGGGCTCCCGAAGGCGCTGCCTCGCGCTTGTTCAAACCCCCGCGGCCTTGGCAGCCTCGCGCTCGTTCCTGGAAAATTAGACGAGAGTTCCAGAGGTTCTCAGAAAAGGGGATGATTTACGGGCCCGTCCCGCGCCCGGCTCCGCGCGGTTAGATTTATCTCCAAGTTTTCACAGAGGAGAGTTCTCCCCAGACCCCTCCACGTGGTGCTCCGCCTCGCTGCGCCCTAATAGCTGTGGCTTGGCGCGGCCGGCGCGGCCGTGACTCACTGATATGTGCCGTTTTTCATGGGCCCAGAAGCACCAAAATTGGTGCAGCATGAAATTATCCTGTTTTTTCTGCTTTGGAGCCGGGGCCCCGGCTGGCGCGGGGGAGGGGCGGGAGGAGGGGCCGGGCCACTTCCTAGCCGGGGAGGCTTAGTGAGGAGGGTCCTTTGTTCTGGGGCCTTGGGGGGAGCCCCGGCCCTGCCCTGTCCCCCCAGTGTCCCTGCTGGTGGTGGAAGAGGGTTCGCAGGGGGGGGGGGGGGCTCGGGACGGCGCCCCCCCTGCCGGCCAGGCGCCTGGTCCCGGTGGGGTGGGTGGCTGCCCCTCATGCCTGGGGTTTTGAGTGAGCGCCGCCAGGTGCCAGACGAGGCCGGGGGCCAGGGAGGCAGCTTTGCGAAGCAGACAAATTCCTGGGGCTCGTGTGTCCTGTGAGGGAGGCTGACAGGGACAACTGGTGAATAAGATCACTGGGAACGGGGATCGTAATTCTGAAGCAGATAAAACAGGACAGCGGGAGAGAGTGGCCGAGCTAGGCCAGGAGGTCAGGGAGGCCTCCCCGGGGGAGTGCCCCGAGCCGGGGTGGCGCCCAGGCAGGACCGGGCAGGGCTCCGCGCAGGGGCCCGGCCGGGGAGGAGTTTGGGTTTTAGTCAAGTAGAAATGAGAGATGGCGGTGGGGGAGGGGAGTTATAAATAGAGGCCCACAGCCCTTGTCTGCAATTTTAAAATCCGAACGGCTCCGAGCTGAGAGGTTTTTTCCATTGCTCATGTCAGGGCAGAGTCCAACCCACTGCCCAGAGCCGGCCCGGCTGGGCTCGGCCGCGCCGCCCGCCCGGGACCCCGCTTATCTCCCCGCGCCCCAGACACTCCTCATTCCCAACCGCAGGGAGCCTCCGGGGTCTCTCGGAGGGATTAGGCGTGCCTGTGAGCTGTGGTGAAGAAAAGCCACATTCATTATCCGCCCGAGAAGTGCAGAAGCTGGGAAAGAAACAGCCCGGGCCCCCGAGCCGGACAAAACGGGGAGCCGCGTGCCTCCGCAGCCCACTCCGGGCCTGCGAATTCCCAAACACTCCTTTCAAATATTTACTTTTACTTTTAGAATTCTCCCCCTCCCGCCCGCCCGCCCCCGGGTTCAGAACTGTAAACGTGTCCACTCCTTTCCAGAAGCAAAAACGTCCTAGAAACGGCCGTTGGGACCCTGCCCCCCTCCGCAGGCCGGGCTGCCAGGTGGGGCGCGGGACCCCGCATTCCTGCAGAATGGAGTCTTATCTCCCCGTCCCCCCGGGGGCTCGTTGCAGAAATTCCGTCCCGCCCCAGGGTTCCGCACGCTGTTGCTGTTGGCTCTCGGTCAGGTTCCTATCCCGGGCCTTGGGGCCGGGAACTGGCCCCTCTCGCGCGGGCCCTGGCAGAATGCGGCCTGTGTGCCCCTGCCAGCCCCCCGCCCGCTTTTGTAAATAAAGTTTTATTGGAACTCAGCCACGCTCATTCCTTGACGCCCGTGGCTGCTCGGTGGCCACGTCAGCACAGCTTGGGGCTGTCTAACCCTTGATTTTTTTTCAGAAGAAGTTTTCCAAGGGCCGTTTCAGAGCCGCGATTGCTCGAAGGCGTCTCCTGCGTGGCCCGGGGCCAGCGCGGCCTCCCTGGATGGGCTCCTCTCCTCTTCTTGGAGGAGGGGGGCGGGGGGGGGGGGACGGGCTCGGCCCTCGGAGGAGACGCTCTGCTGATTGCATGCAGCTGTGGGTTTTGTGCTGGGAGCCCTGACATCTGGATTCCGCCAACGTTTTGGCAGCGCCCTGAGTAGCTGGGGGGTGACATCATCCCTCACAGGCGATTTGGGATCAGTCTGTGGAAATGAACACCATTCCCAGCGTCTCTCGGTGTGTGTGTGTGTGTATGTGTGTGTGTATGTGTGTACGTGTGTGTACGTGTGTGTACGTGTGTGTATGTGTGTGTATGTGTGCGTGTGTGTGTATATGTGTGCGTGCGTGTGCGCGTGTGTGTATGTGTGTACGTGTGTGTATGTGTGTGTGTGTGCGTGTGTGTGTGTATATGTGTGCGTGCGTGTGTGTGCGCGTGTGTGTATGTGTGTACGTGTGTGTATGTGTGTGTGTGTGCGTGTGTGTGTATGTGTGTGTGTGTGTGTTGTGTGCCGTTTTCTATCTCTTTCAGAGTGATCTGTCGTCTTTCCTCGTCACCGTACACACCATCCTGGGACAGAGGGCCATTGCCACCAGACCACGTGTTCTTCACGAATCTGTGGGGTGGTGGCTTCTGCTGCCGCTGTTCTCACCTCGGAGGTGCGGGGAGGCGCGGGCACTGGGAACACCGTGGCTGTGAGGCGTCCCGTGGGCGGACGCTTACCTGGCATGGTTTGCCACGGAGCTAAGATAACTGAACGGAGCCGCAACCGCTCTTCCATAGGGCGTTGCGGGAGGGAGGGTCGGCCATTGACACCGCTGGTTGAGGGCTGCTTGCGGCTGATTCCAGTGAGTGAACCTTCTGTAACACGTGTGGGTGTTCTGGGCCCAAGGCATTTTCCTTTACACCGGGGAGCGGGGTCCCGGGGGACACTGGGCCTCCCTCCTCTTGTCGACGGGCCCTAACGGGCTGCTCCCGGGGCCTGGTCGGGGGTCAGGAGGGAAGGACAAGGAAGGGCCCTGTCACGGGGCTGGTGTCGACGCGCTCCGTGAACAGGCGGCACAAAACTGCCTCGGCTCCTCTGTTCCACTCGATCCAATCGTGCGGTCCTGGTAGTTGCGCGGGGCCGAGTGGCCAGGCCGTGGGGACAGCGCCGACCTGGACTCACGGAGGGAGGGGAACTTCGGGCACCGGGCACCCGGGTGGGGAGAACAGGCCGCGGGAGGCCTGTCTGGCGAGAAAGCCTGGAAAATCTCAAGTGGCCCCGTCTCCCGCCCCTGCCATCCTCCAGACGTCGGGAAGCCCATCGGACAACAGCCACCCATCACACAGTTTACAGCAGCTTTCGCTGTTGACAGGAGCCACGGGCGCGGCCTCCAGTCCATGTCAGTGACCTTGCGAGGCCTGCCGCCTTCTGCCGCCTTCCAGGAAGGCGAGGAGGGCCTCAAGAAACGCGGCTCGGACGGCGTGGCGTGCCTGGGACCAGGTCTCTGAAGCGAAGGGCTCGCCAGCGTGGCTCGTGGGCTCCTGTCCTCTCTCCGGGGCTCTGAGACAGCCCCTGGGGAACGGGGAGCGGGCGGATTGGGGCGGGTTGGTGTTTCCACCTTGAGCGGCCAGGCCCTCGTCTCCTGGAGTGACAGCTACCCCCCGCGCTGCGGCTCTTGGTTGTGAGTCACCAATTCCTCGATGTGAGTTTTCGGTTGGCCTGTTCCTCTCCCAGGAAGTTACATCCCTCCTGAAGCCCTGGGTGTAGTTAGAAACCTGAAGCTCTGAAGAGTCGATTTGTTCCTCGCAGGAGCTGGAGAGGAGCCTGCCCGGAAGGGTCAGGGTGGAGTCGGGAACAGAGCAACATGGGGCAGCAGGCGGGTGGGGGCCTGAAGTCACCTGGGCCACCTGCCCGGGGAAGTGGGCCCAGGCCGAGGGCAAGAACAAGCCCAAACTCTCCGGCCACTCCGCGTCCTGCCCGTGCGCCGGGGTGCCGTCTGGGGGGGTGGGTTTGGGTTTCTGTGTCTGCTGGGAGGGGGCCTGGGGTTCTGGGAGGCATGCGTGTGTGCCGAGCGAGCATTGCCGCCGTGGCGATCGCGGGGCAGCGAAGTGGGGCAGCGTCGAGAGGCCGCTGGGAGTTGTGCGGCTGCGCTCGACCTCTTTGGGAGCTGGTGTTCTCCGTCAGCCACCAGTGTTTTCTTCGCACAGAGCTGACGAGAGAGTCTGTGGCCCAGGGGTTCCCCTCAGTGGGCCTCACCGTGGGATTTGCCACGGCAGCTGTTGGGGGGCATTGGGGGGGGGGAGGCTGGGAGAGCTCTTCATGCTTCATCTTAACAGCATCCTCGGGGGGGTCCCTGGATGGCCCCACGGCCCCCATGTTCTCATCATTGGTGGGTGGGTCGGTGGCTTGGGTACCTGTAGAATTTAAAGTTTACCCACATTAAGATTTTAGCACAGAGGTTTAGGCGGAGCGTCCACGCAGGTGAAGACGTTTCTGTCCTCTGTGGCTTTGGTCTTTATTGATCTTAGCAGCGTGGCCAAGGGTTGTAACGGTCTTCTGTGCCTTTGTGTAGGTCCCTGTGCGGATCGTGTGCCAGGCAGGGCTGAGGACACTGCCTCTGTGACAGACGTCCCGTCCCTGTGGTGAGTGCCTTCTGTTTACGGAACATGTGGCGGTTCTCATCACCGGACAAGCCCTTCACTGACATTCTTTCCATTTGCTCCTCAGACCCACCTGCCCGGCCGCTGTCCTGCCCCTGGAAGTGCAGAGGTGCCAGGAGCTGCCCACCGTCCCAGGACAAACCAGCAGGTGGGAATGGGGGACGGGCCCCCAGGGTCTGGCCTTCGGCCCGGCATTCCCATTTGTTACCCAGCAGTTGCTGTGCTGACTGTTGCATTCCTGTCGCGTTGAATTCCCAGCTGCTCTCGGAGGCTGCATTGCTTCAATTTTTGGATCAAGAACTGCTCACCCAGCTCAGCAGACCTTCTTTGGTCTCGAGCAGGTTCGGCAGTTGGTGTGGGCAGATCTATTCGATGCCCTGCTTGCCACCGGATACGGTGCCAGCTGACAGCCGAGCGGTGGACAGCTGCCTCTTGTCCCGCTGCGGGCTCTGGCGGGGTGGGCCTGTCCTGGGGACAGCGTTCCGTGGCATTCCTTCCACTCCAGCCTCACCCTCCCCGCCTCACCCAGAAGCAGAGACGTCCCTGCCCCAGATCGGAGGGGCCCCCGCTGGTGAGCTGGCCCTCCTTCGTTCCCACCTCGAGTTAAATCAGGATGAGGGAGGAAGAGCCCATTTTCCTTGGGGCTGTTACAGAAAGTTCCAGAAGGAGGCGGTTTGGGGGCTAAGCCTTGAGGAGGAAGGGATGGTGTGCATGGAGGGCAGGGCAGAGGGCATTCCAGATCGTGAAGATTCCACTTTTAAAAAAATATGTTCTTTTAATTGATTTCAGAGAAAAAGGGAGGGAGAGAGAGAGAGAGAGAGAGAGAGAGAGAGGAACATCAATGATGAGAGAGCATCGTGGATTGGCTGCCTCCTGCACATCCCCTATTGGGGATCCAGCCTGCAACCCCGGCATGTGCCCTGACCAGGAATCGAACCCTGACCTCCTGGTTCATAGCTCAACACTCAACCACTGAGCCACACCAGCCGGGCCTGAGTCTGCATTTCAGACACCTTCTCAGTTTACTTGCTTCCCTTCTAAGTTCTTCCGCCTGGACTGATCACCGCATCAACATGAGACAGAGAAACCGGAGAACATGACCAAATTTGTTACATACGTGCACATGGGTTTCGTAAGAACAGGGGGCCGAGGACACCGCCCGGGCAGTGGAGGCCTCCGTGCCCCCTGAGCGAAGGAGATCGGGGGCGGTGGGGGACTTCAGAAGGCAGGAAGGCGGTTCGCATGGAGGTAGAAAAGCAAATGTTTGGTAAAGACATGTTTGCTGGGCCACCCTTGACAGTGGGACCCAGGACTTGGACCCCAGGGTCCTCGACGGGCCCTCCCTGCCCCTCACACTGGTCCCCGTGGGCGCGTGGTGCCTGCGAGGCAGCTGCCCTGAGCAGGCTTCCGTCCGAATTCTTTCAGGCAGTGGCGGGAAGCACCAGGGTTTGGTTTTGTGTTTTTCTTGAGTCTTTTGTTTCTCAAAATAACCAGCATACAACAGTCAGCACCCCAAAAGGCATATCTGGGGGAGCAAACTCTGCTCCCTCAGGATCCGCCAGAGTCCAGACCCGGCTTGAGTCGCTCGTGGTTGATCTTGAAGAGTCAGGCTCGGCCCTGGCCGGTGTGGCTCAGTGGCTAGCGCATCGCCCGAGCACCAAGGGGCCATGGGTTTGATTCTGGGTCAAGGCCACGCAACCGGGTTGCAGGTCGATCCTCAGCCCCATCGGGGTACATGCGGGAGGCAACCATCGATGTGTCTCTCTCCCATTGATACGTCTCTCTCTCTCTCTCTCTCTCTCTTCTCTCTCTCCCCCCCCTCCCTCCTACCCCCTCTAAAAATCAATGGAAAAAGTGTCCTCAGGTGAGGAGTAACAAAAACAAAAAATAAAAGAAACACACACACACAACACGCAGGGTTCTTCCTCAGTGGAGCCAGGGAAGGGGAGCACCTGCCCCCTGGTTGGAGGTGAGCGTGGGGCTGCGCAGGGCGATGGGCGCATTCCTGGGGCTGGAGGCTCTCAGGGAGGGGCCGGAGGGGCCGAGAGGAGCCAGAGAGGAGCCAGCGGGGTCGGTGGAGGCCTCTCGCCTGGAGCCGGCCAGGACATTCCTGCAGGCCCTGGGGTGTGGCCGCGAGGAACACTCTGGAGGAGCAACTGCTGAGCTGGACAGCCAGCCCCGCCCCACCCGCCCCTGCTGGGGCCCCACGGAGGCCCAAGGACGGGGCTCTGGCTGAGGCCACCCCGCAGGCCCCCCGCCCTCGCAGGGCTGAGTGCAGATCGAATGAGATCACCGTCCCAGGCCGCCCGCGAGGCTCCTCCTCGTCCTCTTGGAGGCCCCGTTCCTGCCCCGAACATTGGACGCGCGCCCCTGCCTTCGGAAAATATTTGTAAACCCCGTGGGTTGGGGGGCCGAGCCCTGCAGCGTAGAGCGACCCTCACAGCTTCCATCACCGGGCTTCGGGGCTGCCCCTTCCCGGGGGGTGACGGCACGGCCATGTCGGGCTCGGGTGTAAAGAAGCATGGGCCGCCGGCTGCCACCTTCGGAGAGGGACCCTCACCTTCCCCCCAGTCCCCACCTCTCGCCGTCCTGGCCCTCCCCCCCAACAGGAAGTGCCCCGAAACGCTGGCCCTCGAGTGGAGACCAAGTGGCACAGTGACTAGCTGCTGCTCCTGCCCCTGTGTCCCGGGAAGGCGCCCCCAAAAGGCGGACAGACATCCAGACGTTCGGACTGACTCCCGGGCGGCAGGAGCCGTCCCCTGCTCTGGGCTCGGCTTCTCCTGCAGACTCTGCGCTGGAGCTTTCGTTTATAAACGCCACCATTTCCCCCGTTATTACAGCCCGTCTTGGCTTCTCGGGGGAACAGGATTCTTTCTGAGCTTTAAAAAGGACGTTCTCTTGGCCCTGGGCGTTCCACGTAGGAACATGAGACCTTGCTCTCACTGTGAGGGTTTGCAGATTCGAGGCGTCTTTCAGGGCGAGTGTAGGAGGCCGCATGGGAATTAGACAAACCCCCCAAATACCTGTAAGAGCGGTCCCGTGCAATACTTTGGATATACTTCCCCGCCCCCAATTATTAGCCGTTTATCTGAAATTCAGGTTTCACTGGACATCTGTATGTTTCCTCGCTACGTGTGACAGTGCGGTTTAGACATGGATGCCTTAAGTTAGATTTGAGAGTTGCTTGTCTTCTGAGTAGATGTCCCAAAGGGGTCTGGTTTGCTTGTCACTGGCAAGAGGACTTCCCATGCCCGTTGGGTGCGGACTGGGTGGCCGGGGACCGGAGAGCGGGCAGGAGACCTGCAGGGGCCTGTGTGTCACAGCGGCGGGCCCGCCCAGCGAGGCCCAGAGCGGGGCGTCTGGAGCGCGCCCCTCCCCGTGGGCCTCGCGGGGGACGGCCTCGTGGTGGGCGCGCTCAGTGTCCGCATGACCTGGTTGTGAGCAGAGACGCAAGTACCGGCCTCCGTGTGAGTCGTGGGCGGGCGTGACTCCTTCCTCACAAGTGGGTCTTCGGGTGAGAAGTTCTCATCGTTCAAGCAGACTTGGAAGAAAGGATCCCAGGGTTCACTCGGAGGTCACGCCTGCGACGATAAGCAGGCTGGCGAGTTCCGGGAGGCGTGAGGTGCTGGCCGGCCACCAGATCCTCGGAGCTGATGGGGAGGGGAGCAGAAACAGACCCCGTACCCCCAAGAGAGTGGCCACCAGACCAGGCAGAAGGGAAGACCCGCCGTGAACGGGCCTGGGAGAGCCGGTCAACCGGGTGGGCGAGGCGCAATCCTCTCGTCCTGCCTGCCGGCGTGGGCGCGAGCGCAATCCAGAATTCGGACAAGAAATCAGAACAAGATGGATGCTGCTTCGTCACCTGGATGGAGGGTGAAGGCAGTGGCCAAGCTTCAAGCTTCGGAAGGTGACCCGCAGGGAAGAGTTCAGGACGGCGACCCCATGGCCCTCCGCTTCTGAGAACCAACCAGAAATCTAAAGGCAAACACGGCGGGAACAAACAGACAATGAGATCTAGACAAACACGGTGGGAACGTGTTCGCTGCAAATATGACCCCACTGGGTTCCTGCCACGCTGCGAGCTCTCCCTGGGGGCGTCGGAGCGTGTGGGGGGTGCTCCCTCCCCGGGTAGGTCCTGCTTGGGGCTTCACATTAGAGAGAGCCCCTCCCAGCCGTCCCTGTGGGTCAGGGCCCCGTTTCACCCCCCGCAGCGGAGAAGCGCCCGCCGCCCCCCGGGCATGTGAGACCCGCGGTGAGAGCCGGTGAGGCAAGAGGAGGAGTCCCGGGAAGAGCCTACACACCTCGGATACCGGGAAACGGCTGTTGACTCGGGCGGGGGGGGGGGGGGGGCGCGGTGAGCTGGGAAGATGGCACAGTGTGTGTCTGGACGCTGGAAAAACACACCGGTGACCTTTGGCCTGGCATTCTACTTCGAGGGATCCGAAGCCGATCGCCGGGAAGGGGGACAAGGTTGTGTGCACAGAGGCTGCTGTGGATGTTAGTGATGCTCCTGAGATTTGCAAAAGGCCAGTGTGTCTGCCAGACAGGCCAGGCTCTGAGAAACAGTCAGCAAGGTTGTCAGTTCACCTCTGGTCATGTTCCTGGGGGCGGGGCGGGGGGCGCAAAACAAACACAGCATGGTTCACACGGTGTGATTCCAAGCTTTCGCTCGGGTGCTAAGCTGCCCTCCGGTTGTAGGATTTAGGCTGATTTGTGTTGTCTTTCGGCTCTTTATTTCCAAACATGGCAACAGGCTGTTGTAGAATTCGGAAGAGAGGGAACTGTGATGGGCAGAGAAGCATTGGCTGTGAAATGGTGGGAACTGGGGCGGGGAGAGTCCCATGAGGAGACCCACTGGACTGGGGGGGCTGGGAGGAACGTCCCCCTCCGCCAGCTGTGCTGGCCCAGCCCCCTGTGCGGCCCCTCGGCCGGGGCTCTTGGCGGCATCCCCCCTCCTCCCAGACCCCGCATCCTCCAAGCCCACCCCTCTCTCCTTCCCTCCTCAGACGTGTTCTGGGTGCCCTGTGTTCCACAGCAGAGTCTTGGTGAAAGGAGGTGCACGTGCACACACACTGGGGGGTGGGGGGCATGTGGGAGCGGTAGGGGTGCTGACAGAGGCATGGAGCGGTGGAGGATTCCAGAAAGCCTGGCGAAAACACGGCGGTGTGTGTCCTGTGGTCACGATTCCGTTTTTTCAACAGGATCCTTTGTAACCCCCATGTGACTCAAATATATCATGTACTCTCCACAGATACTTCAGATACTGCACGTGCACACGCACACACGCGCTTACACACGTTCACACACACACGCACACACCATGCATTTGTTTTTCTCTGAAGGAACAGGCTCAACCGACAGGACATGTGTCGAGAAGTTCCCTTCAGTTTTTCCTTTACTCGTTGACGTCTGCATGTGCATGACTGGCAGGTCTGACAGCCATGATTGCAGACGCCAGAGAGCTGTTCCTCTGGAGGCAGAGCCCAGGGGGCCGGCAGCTCCCGGGCCGAGGGCTGCGGTGGGTGCCCCCGTGCTCCGAGGAGGCTGCATGCGGCTGTGCCCCGGCAGCCGTGTCCCCTTCTCCCACGTGCCCCCGCCAGTCCCACGCCCGTCTCCCCGCAGGTTGTGGTCTCCCGCGGAGCAGACTTCCCACTGTTCCCTTCTGCGCTCGAGCTGGCGAAGGCTCTGGACCCAGACCCATCCGCTCCCCGGGGACTGCTTCGGCCGACACTGCATCTTGTCAGAATAACTGCCTTTTTTCAGCTCCCGGGGCGGCGTGGGTGGAAGGTGTGGGGGCTCCGAGGCCGGCTGCCCCTCGCCGGCTGGGTGCCCTTGTGGGAGGGGGCGGAACCTCCTGGGCCTCAGGCCCCGTCGGTACCACGGGAGCCCAGCCCGGCACCGAGGGGAACAGTCCACCGGTGGCAGGTTCCTGAGCACGGGCGGGGGCGGGGGCGGCGGGGGGAGCGTCCTGCTCTGTGGATGGCACTGTCGGCGTAAGAAACATCTAGATCTGTAGAGAGTGGCATGAGCTTCTTTGAGCCAAACTGGCGATAGCGCCAGGAAGCAGAAGTCTTAGCAGATCCAGAGGAGGGCCGCCTCAGCTGCTTTTGTACACTTGAGACTCAACGCAGGAGGCATCAGGGTGTAGGTGGAAGTCCATCAGCGGCAGGTGCAGGGGCGGGAGGAAGTAGCGCGGGTGGGGGCGATCTCTGGGCTAGATCGCAGGCAACCCCCAGGACACCCCTCTCTGCGCTGGTGTGCAGGCGAGCAGGAGAGCAGGCGAGCAGCGTCAGCAAATGGAGATGGTATTCAGGAGACAAGAGAGCAGTGAGGGGTTCTGTGGCCTCGCGCTCTGGTGCCGGAGGCTGTGCCCTGAGCGGCCGGGAGAAGAAGAGTACTCTGACATTTTTTTACAGGTACGTTATCTTAGGCGCACAAAGCCGATTTCACAGGGAAAAGCCGGCCTTGGTCAAGGAAGCGACATGCCTAGGGTGAGCGTGCTTGCTTCTGGTTAGGGGCTCTGTGGTCAGACCGTCCTCCCTGGTGGCCTTGGTCTCTGAGTGCGTAGGGCCCACCACGCTGGCCTCCCCGAGCTCGTCAGGTTAGCCCGTGGCCCCTTCTCCCCCTCGCACGCACGAGGAGGAGGAATAGTCCAGTCTCAGTGAGCACCAAACCCACGGATTCCTGAAATCCGGAAGAGCAAATCGGTCCCCCCGCCCCGCCCACGCTGATCCCTGCTGACCTGGTGCCACGGCAAGGCCCCCTTTGGTTTGCTGCCATTTCAATGCCTCTTTCATTGGCTTCGTGGTAACCCCACGGAGAGTCTCTCCTAGAGCTCTGGGCTTGGTGCTCCCATTGCGTCCTCACACCAAGACCCGAAAGATGCCAGTGAGCGCCTCACGCTCTTGGAGGGGGGCCAGTGAGCCACCCTCCGTGCCGGTCCCCGGGAGCAGGCCGCCTGGGCCCACAGAAAACATGTCCGTGCTCCGTGGAAGGCTGTGTCTGTCCGTTTGCTAAAACCCAGCCATGGACCATAATTCTCGAACGGCTGTGGGGAGAGGGCTCTTAAGTCCCAAAGCCCGGAGGGGCTATCCCTCTCCCGCCCCTGGCATCAGGGTGCGCCTTCCACCGGGTGACTGCCCCTGTCCTCAGAGTTCACGAGCTCAGCCGGGGAGGAAGCGGGGGGTCCAGGAGACAGGGCACGCGGGATGGGGGGCCTCGCGGGTGTGCCGCCCTCTGACCGCGCCCTCTGCCCCTGTTTCCTGCAGGAGCGGGAGGAACAGCCATCTCCTCGAAGCCCATCTGACCCCCCTGTGCCCGGCCCCCTGGCCCAGGCTGAGCAGCGCGAGCAGCGCCCAGGTAAGGATGCGTGAACGGGTGGCGGCCCTGTCGCCCGACGCCAGCGTCGCCAGGATGCTGGGGCTTGGTGTTCTGAGAAGCGGCTCTTCTTGCGAATGCAAGGAGATGCTCACCTTTCCCCCCAGGAGGGAACAGCCCTCAGCAGGAGAGGCGTGCGTGGCTGCGGCCTCTTCATGGAGTGCCCTTTGGCGAACTGGGTCCCGGGATTGCCCCCTCCTCCCCGAGAGGCCACTGGCTCCTGGTCCTGGCTGGCTGTGTCTGCGCCCGGCCCGCGTCTGCCTGTGTCCCCCCGGCAACCCTCTGCCGTTCGGTGGTTCCTTCTGTTCCTTCCAGCTCATTCCTGCTGGGGTCCTGGGGGAAGGAACGAGTGACACGGACAGGGTCAAGGGGTGGGGCATTGGGACTGTCGGCTGCAGACTCTGACAGGGACCGGAGCCCGAGGAGGGAGCGGCAGACCCGAGCCGAGACGGAACAGGAGGATGAGGACGGCTGGCTGTTCGAACAGTTGGAGAGTTTAAGGGCAGAGAATGGAAGGATTGGGACTGGTGGGATGAGAATTAGATTTTTTAAAATATATTTTTATTGATTTCGGAGAGGAAGGGTGAGGGGGGGAGAGAGAGAGAGAGAGAGAGAGAGTGTAACATCCACGATGAGAGAATCATCCAGTGGCTGCCTCCTGTATGCCTCCCTCTGGGGATCGAGCCCACAACCCAGGCATGTGCCCTGACCGGGAATTGAACTGAGCCTGGTTCGTAGGTCGACGCTCAACCACTGAGTCGCGCCGGGCAGGCGAGAAGAGTTAGATTTTTAAATGGCTTAATGAGAAAGGGTGGCACTCGGCAGACCCGGGAGCTGGAGCTGCCCAGGCCTCGGGTTCGCCCAGGTGCTGGGGAGCGCGCCCTCGTCAAAGCGCTCGGGGTTCCGGCCGTGCGGCGTGGGGGTCACCCTCCAGAAGGGTTTCAGTGAGGTGATGTGAGGGAAACGTGATGTGAGGGAAACAGTCCCAGTCTGTTGCCATTGGCCTTGAAGCCGAGGAAATTAGTAATTCGTGGCATTTCACTGCTTACAAACGGTCTCGTTTAAACGAAAATCATCTAAGTGTCGGTGTTCGTGTTCGTGTGAAATCTGTGTTCAGACTTTAACCACAAAGTTAGAGAAAACGATGCTGAATGGACTTCCCACGGCTTCTCCTCCGGGGCCTCTAAGTCGGACCTTCACAAAGCGCGGAGGCCGCGCCCTGGGGGCGGGGGAGCGGGTGGCACAGAGGAGGGCCGGGCCTCGTGGGAGGGCGCTGGCTGTGCCCCGGTCGGGCTGTCCAGAGGCGGGGGGCCCGGCGTCTGACCTGTCCCAGCCCCTGAAGCAGGGCCTGCAGCGCGAACACACTGTCTGCGTGTGGCACCGGCTTCCCCGCCCGGAGTTCACACTGTGAGCACCCCCACGACAGCCACCTCCTTCCCTCCAGCCTCACGGAGGCCCCACACGGCACAGCCGGCATCGGCACCGGCACCGGCCAGATGTGTGAGGGGCAGGCCGAGAGCGGCATGGCTGGCGGGCAGGGCGGGAGCACGGAGGGCTGGGTGGTGGGTGTGAGCGGAGGCGAGGGGGCAGCTCCCGCTTCGGAAGGACTGGTTAGTGCGTGTGAGCCCACAGCCAGGCGCCTTCCGGGGGCAGCTGCCCCGCCGCCCCTGCACCCCTGATCCCGGACCAGCGCCTCACCCCCGAGTCTGCAACCCCGTTCCCAGCACGGGCAGCTGCCTCCCCTGAGGACCACGGCGCAGCGGAGGCGAGTCCGAGAGAGTGTCCTGCTCAGGGCACGGCCAGCGTCACGCTGTGACAGGAGCAGGAGCTAGGAAGCGCGTGGCAGGAGACGAGGCAGGACCGGCGGGGGAGGAAGAGGTGCGTCTCGGTTGGCATTTTGAAAACGCCTTCTGAAGAGGGCCCGAGCGGAGTCTGCTTTCCTCGCGGCAGAGGCTCGGCACGCACGGGGCCTGCCTTGCAGCGAGGGGGGGTGGGGGGTGCTTGTGGGGAAGTGGCCCGCGTCGAGGAGGAGCTGACCCACACTCCGCTCTGAGGACCAAAGGGAAGGTGAAGGCGAGTCCACTTCTCAGAGCGTCCAGCACGACCCCAGAACACGGAGACACGGAGACGATCTGAAGGGAGAGCCCGACAGCCGCCCGGCACGGCCTCCAGGCGGGTGGAGGCGGACTGGGGCCGGGGGAGGGCGGGATTCTCCAGCGCAGGGCGAAATGGCTCCGCTGGGGCTCTGCCCGCAGCGCGAGGGGCCCAGATGGAGAGACGCAGGTCCTGGCCGTCCTCTCCGACGGGGTTGCTAGATGTTGTGCTTCAAGAGGAGAAGCGAGCATGTGCCCGGGGAGGGCTGTGGGTGTTCAGGGCCGCGTGCACCCTAAACATAAGCTTCAGCCGGAACTTGGGGTGACTGGGCATTGGGGACGTACGGTGTCTTTCGAGAGAGGGGTTTGTTCCGTGGGTGGTTACGTCACCGCAGGACCCCGGTGAGGAGGAGAACATGAAGTCACTTGGTCCTGCATTTGGGGGAAAAGTGTGCTTGCTTATGTGTTTCAAGGAGCAAGGTGTACCCCAAACATGGACTGCGACCACTGAAGAATATGCATGTCATCTCTAGTCTCCAGCCTCGCAGGAAAAAGAGAAGGGAACCTCTATTTAACAGAAACGCCAACATCAAGCAGAAAAGGAAGAAAAACAAGATGTGGGGGGAAAAGGATGTCAAGTAAGATGCTCAGAAGGGTCCCGAGGAGCCCAGAGCTGACAGCTGGAAGGACGAGGGATACCTGGAACCTGCACCCAACACACAGGCTCTGGGTGCTCTTCTGAAACCTGCAACTTTTCAAAAAGTTGACCATATATGGAAAGTTGCACTAAATTTTAAGCAATCCGTTTCATGCAAGCCACGGTCTTTGACCCAGTGCGATTAACCCCGAAGTCCACAGGAAGAGTTCAGAGACGGCAGCAGGCACTGTCGCACACACCCTCGCTCACGCTGGGGCTGGAGAGGAATTCAGGGAAGCGCGGTTCCTGGGAAAGGCAGGGGATCGGAGAGGGCCCAGGTGGGAAGTCGCGCCCTGCTGGTTACAGAGCTCAAGACTACATGTCTGAGCTTTGAAAGAAAGTGAAAAACCGACATGAGAAGATGAAAGACTCCAGGGCGGGGAAGCCAGGAGTTAGCAAGATGAAGGTCAGGCATTACGGAGACGATGGAGGCGGTACCGATGGACAGGAACCCGCTCGGAAGCCAGCCGCGGGCGCAGGCGGACACGGGGCAGGAAGGAAGATGGAAACCACGCGGAGCGCATCCGAGAGGCCGGCATCGAGACCCCGCAGCCGCCGGCGAACAGCACGCGGCCCAGGGCTGTGAAATCGGGAGGGCATGGCCGCCGCACTGCAGAAATACAGAAACAGCGCTGCTCCGGCGCTGGCGAGGGCGTGGGCCGCGCAACGCCAGGCTTCGCGGTGCGAACGCCACCCGGTGCAGCCTCCGTGGGAGACGCCTTGGCAGTTTCTCACACAACGAGACCCAGTGTCGCCGCAGGACCCAGCAGGCCTGCTCGGCAGTGTGCGCCCCTCGGAGCTGAGCCTGTAGGTCACACCCCCCCGCACGTGGTGGTTACGGCAGCTCTGCTCGCAGGCGCCAGGCCCGGGAGCAGCGGGGAAGCCCTGGAGGAGGGCGGGGCAGGCGAACGGGTCCACACGGACGTAGCGCGGTGAAGAGCGGAGCTGAACCACACACCGGCCTGGAGGAACCTGCGTGCAGGGCGCTCGGTGAGAGGCGGTGTTGAAGGCTGCCTGCCGGGGATTCCGACTCAGTGACCTGGGAGAGGCAAAGCGGCGGGGACAGCAGGAGGACCGGAGGTTTGGGGGCGAGGGATGGGCCTAGAGCAGAGGGGACGTCCACAGCAGAGACAGCACGGGACAGAGGCCTGGCCCCGCATCTGTCCTCCCTCTGCGTCCTCACCACCCCGGTGTCTGTGGTGGGCCGGCTGGGGCGCCCTCCTCCCGGCTCCCCACGCCCGCCCTTACCCTCGTGTGCCTGACACCCAGTTCAACGCTCGGGGTCTTCTCACCTAGACACTTGGGGCGCGGGCGGCGTTGGGCAAAGATGTGGGGCTGCTCTCCCGCCCCGAACGTCCGAGCGTCGTCGGGTGCGGATGACAGACCCTCGCGGTGCCACGGCTCGGACGGAGAAGTCTCCGGTGACTCCTCCCCGAGCTTCCCCCGGGCAGAGGCAGTTCTCTGGTGGCTCCTGAGTCCTCGCTGACAGTCGTTACGGGGACAGACCATCCGTAACGTGAAATGACCAGCCAGGCTCGCAGCGAGGGCCCCGTCCTGTGTGCGGTGTGGGGCCCGCACCACTGTCCGACGGAAGACCTTCTCCCACAGACGGAGCTCCATTCCCGCCCGGCAGGAACCCCGCTGCGGGCACCCGCTCCTGCCTCCGAACCCACCTGCCCCAGCCCCTTACCTCATGGTGGTGGAATCCCACGTGTGTCCCTTCGTGCCTGGCTTGCTTCACGGAGCCCAGCGTCTCCAGGGCTCGTCCTGGTGGCAGGAGGTGGCAGGGTTTCCGCCCTTTTACGGCCGGGCATCGCCCGCTGCACGTGTAGACCGCTCTCGGCTTCTCCGTCCGGCTGCCAGCCAGCCCCGGGGTTGCTTCCCCCTTTTTGCTCCTGTGACGAACACGGCTGCGAGCGTGGGGGTGCAGACACTGTCCAAACCCCTGCTCCCCGTTCCTGTGTGTACATCTTACACTTAGGACTGGAGTTGCCGATGACAGTGATCCTGTGTAGCGTTTTCTCGGTGATGCTTTTGCGATGCGACGTCTCAGAGAATTGTTATTTCTAGTTTTATTTCTTGTTTTGTTACTCCTCACCCGAGGGTATGTTTTCATTGTTTTTTTTAGAGAGCGTGAAGCGAGGGAGAGAGAAACATCGATGTGAGAGAGACACATTGATTGGTTGCCTCCC